TTTACACAAATCTGCAGGGTCTCTTACTTTGACAACACAACATAAAGTAAAAGTCCTAAAATCCGGATGCCAGAAATCCGGACCACCCGAGAATCCGGACTTTTCGAAAACTCATTTTTTTTTCTTAATTTTTTTTAGCTGGCTTTTGTGTGTATGTGCGCATGCTTGAGCATCACAGCTGCACAGCGACCACAAGCGACCACGCGGTCGCCACTTTAAAACGAGCAATCAAACTGTGACAACGTATGTAATTTTGAGTCCTACTCTTTCCATTTACAGAGTACTGTACAAGCCCATAATAATGGCTCCTAAAGTAAATAAACTTCATTGTGTGAAGAGAAAGAAGAACACGTTGAAATTGAGTGACAAACTTGAAATAATTAAGAAACTAGAACATTGGAAAGTCTACAATTTATGATATAAAAAAGGCAAAGAATAAAATTCTAGAATTCACAGCTTTTTCTTTAAAACTGCTCATTTTGATAAATGAAGCATGCTATATTTGCTAATGAATAAACTATCAAAATGTACCTGTTCATCTCTTGTTTATTCCTCCTTAAATTTGAATTTTAAAAGTACTACCTGAGAATCTGGAAAATCTGAAAATCCGGACTGACCCAATCCCCAAGCAGTCCAGATTTTTGGACTTCTGCTGTACATACAGTGGTCCCTCGGTTAACGAACGCCTCGGTTAACAAAATTTTGGTTAACGAATTACCTTCCATAAAAATCTTCAATTCGGTTAACAAAAAAAAATTTGATTAATGAAATCCTTACGAAAATCAATTTTTGTTTTGAACATCAGCTGATAAGCTGAGGAGGTACTCAGCCAATTCAGTAATCTCTTCTATGTTTACATTCTTTTCCAATGGAGTAAATATCAAGAAAATTGTGCTCTTTAATATTTGTGCACTTTTTTATACAGTATTAAAGTTATTGGTCATTCTAAAATTTAGCCATCCAAGCTCTGTCTACATAAAGTTTTCAACTATTATTTTTGGCTTGATATATGTAACTTTATTCATTTATTGAAACTCGTTTACATGCACACACTGTCCTAAGGGCAAAGCTGAACTGTACATGTAATTAGAATAATGTACAAAATGATTACTAAAATTTTTGTCTAGTTCAAATTATGGCATGTTTACATTCAAATTAATCACCATCTCATAAGAATTCCTGCAATGTAAATTATATTCTCCCCGGTCACTTCTATTAAATTTTATAAGCAAAAAACAAAAATCAATCTAAAGGACATAAATTAACAATTAAATACTTCACACCACAGGCGCCAACTGTCAAACATATCACTGTCACCCCTCCCTCCCTCCCAACCCCCCCACCTTCCCAACAAAGGTTTGGGGGTTTTCAGTAGTCTTTAAGTTTTTATCTTGTATAATACATGTATCTCAGACTAAAGTTAGGAGAATATAATTTGCATTGCTGGAATCCTTGCAAGACAGCAAATATGTTAAATTATATCATTCAAACAATTTAGTATTTTGCTTGAAATAATAAATGTACACTTTTCAAAGGCTTCAAAGTACTTTACTGTACTGAAATAGTTTGCAAGTGTCAGAGAAATTCATAAATAATTTTTGTTCCTCTAAATAAGAACAAACAGTAAAACCAAATTTATCACAGTACCTGTACAGTCCTGTACGTAAATTAATAGTAATCATACTTAGTTTGAAATTGCAAATACAGTTATAGTAATTATCATTCTTGAAAGATTTTAGAAGTACAGTACTGTACTGTATCTGTATTGAAATTGTAATTAAAGTACAGGTAGAAATAGAAATGTGAAATAAAAGAATGATTAAAATTCCCAAATAAGTACCGTATGAGTATATACACAGTACAGTGGTCCCTCGGTTAACGAACACAATTCCTTCTAGAAGGTCGTTCGTTTACCGAAAATTTCGCTAACCGAATCCATTGTTTCAATGGGATATTGGGAAATTGGTTCCAGCTCACCGAAAAGTACATACAAAGTTAAAAAAAAAATGCAGTAAAGTATACTTAATTTGAGGTGTGTATGTAGAAGGTTCCTGGTTGATGATGATGATGGGAATTAGAAGTTGGGGTGGAGGAGAAGGGAGAAGAGAAGGAAGTGGGGATGGAAGAGAAATCACCCCATGCTTGATGCCGTCATTTCACCAATAAAATTTTAAGTTTACTAGGTGTAATTCAAGATTATTTTCTTTAAATCAACACTGCACTGCACTACATATTGTCAATATGTTAAATAAATTTCAAAATGACCAATAATTGTACTGTAAAAACGTAAAAATACTCTTGTGTTCAAGAGACCCACAAGCAAGATGTTTCCTCCAATGAGCAGAGACACAAACTGAGGCCTTGGTGGGTGTGTGAAGTGGCTGATGGGTGCACCAAAAACTAGTTTCCTGTACTGCAATTATGTTAAATAAGTGTTAAAATGACTACAAAATTTAATATAAAACTTGGAAAATTATTGAATAGTACAACCTTCTTGATATTTACTCCAATTTTAACGAATGTAAACCCTAGAACCGATTTCTGTATTGGCAGACTAATCTTCCAGCTGGTGAGCAAGCCAAAACATGTCGAAACGTTTTCGTAAGAATGTCGTTAACCGAAATGAAGATTCTTATGGAAGGTAATTCGTTAACCGAGGCGTTTGTTAACCGAGGGACCACTCTGTATTGTATATGAAATTCTTGCAAAAAATATGTCGAATCTATTTCAGTTTCACAAGAAGTAAAAGAACAAAAAATCATAACAAATGTTTGATCATACAAAATATGATTTTGCATCTCCATTAAGTGCAAAAAACAGCAAACAAAAATATAAAAAAGACAATTAAATTTCTCCAATAAGTATGAGTGTACAATACACAGTATCACAGTACTGTTTATTGTATCTGACATTATATCACATATTAAGTTGAAAGAATTTACGGTATTTGTTTTCACAAAAGAAAAAACATAAATATTGGAACAAAAAATATTTCATATTCTCCATTCAGTGCCTGAGAAAAAATAGTAAACAGAGATAAAAAAATCACAGTTTATACATTACTTCTATCAATTATGACACTGATGGCAAAGTCTCCATAATTTAACTTGATTGCCCACAGCCAGAGGTGGATGTATGGCTGCACTCTTGACATATGCATGCTCTAAATACATTACACACAGATTGGGCTGATAATGTATTGTTCATACTAGTGAAGACCTTTAAAGCCTCCAACATAGCACCATTCAGTTCTTGTGTACTGTCCTTAATAATGGCATTGAAGCATTCATTCCTCTTGTTCACCTGCTTCCTTCTCTTCCCCCTGTGACTGGATGCTGCTGTTGCTGGTGGTGGCACGGGTGATCCTGATGTTGGATCAGTTGAGCTAAGTGTTCCTGCTGGTGCAGACGCTGGCATAATTGGTGGTGGTGACTGCCTTCTCCTTTGAAGACGAACTTTTATTTCTACAACTCATGTTTCTGCTTAATTTTGGATAAGGCGTACCAACCCTCTCGAGTTGCGGCGTATTACTAAATAGTAACCTGATGTTCGGGATTGATATTCGAGTTTGACGAATCCATTTGACGGGTTACCAAACAGTAACCCGACATTCGGGATTGCTCTTCGGGCTTGCTGCCTTGAGTGTTTAAAAAATGGCCGATTGAGGCCATTCTCTTTCCTGATGATCGGAGACATTTGTTGTCATTGCAAAAGGAACATAAATATTAACTAATATAATACTGTATTTGGTAATTCAGTAAAGTCAGTTTTAGATGAATGCTTTTTCCAGATAGATTTCCATTGTATGTACATGTGTGTGCATTTCTCCACTTAAACGTAGGCTACATAGCTATGTATGAGTTGGACCTTTATCAGACCTGACCCGGTTGTCTTGCCTCCCCACCTCCTTTTCTTTACCTCATATTTACTCCTCCCTTGTTCACTGTCCTTGACATAGACACGCTAGCATACCACACTACATAGCTTAGAGGTTGTAACAACTTTTATTCAAGTGCCTTTGCATTGTGACATAATTCTTTCATATCTAACTGACATGTGTAAGGCTAGAGGTATTGCCATTATCATGTTATTTTTGGATCAGTGTTTACATATATAATTTATCTGATATTTTCTTGAGAAGTTACATGAATCAGTAGAAATGAAAAAAAATATGTTAGCAGGTACAAAACAACAACAAAATCAAATTTATTTAAATAAAAATATAGCATTGTTTATTTTCAGTCAGACTGGCCAGACAGTTGAGGCACGTTGTTGCTGCCTCGTGGTCCTATATTAAAACATTCGTCATGGCAAAATAAATGAGTATAACTTTATTATTACTTAGTTTTCCATGGGTTTTTGAGTAATAAGAGGAAATGAATAAAATATTTATGAATACAAAATAGAGAAAAATCATTATACATTCCTATTTAGCTCATTTGTCTGAGAGACCCAGGGAAAATCCTTGAGACTTACACACACACATGTTGATGCGTAGCAGATATTTAAATGACCAGTGTACAAAGTAATGGAAGTTTTTGGTCTTTCGACAACAAAATATGACTTCAATCCTCCCCTCCCCCCCCGTTTTTATTTTTTTTTACCTGATGGGAAGATTTTTACCAGAACGGGTAGATGCTTTATGGGTTAATAGGGTGACCATGGCTTGATCCAGTGTTGTGATTACTAAGCTGACCCTAACTCATCCTCTGAGAAGGAGACCAGTTAATGGAAATATAATGATGATAGAATACGGTATATGTGTATGTATCTCTGGTGCGTTTTTTATATAATACTAGGATGCTATTACAAGATTCTGTCTGAGTACCGATGTCATAGTTTTTTACTGGACAATATTCATATTTCATAATATTAAATGAACAAGCATCCAAAGGTGGGACTCGTGTCAGTAGTATTAATAGTTCATGTTGTCAGAGTTCAAACAAGCTATGCCATTATAGATCTAATATTTATGCTGTAATTATTTTTGTATTGAGCAGAGCTGATGAAGAGGTGGCAATAGAGAGCGGAACTACTGAAGGATACATCATCGTAGGAGAACAACAGTGATGCAGCATAGTGTAGTGGCTCTGGTGTGTCCTGCCCTGTATGCATCAGCCCGCCATCTGACTCTCCTGGGACGAAGACCCATATCCAGGCAGTTCTTTCTTCTCAGGTAATTCTCTTTGTGAAGCATTCTTGTAGCTAATGTGATCTATCCTAATTATGTTAACAGTTTGGTCTCATTTTTTGTAAGTATAGATTCCTATTAAACATACCTTGGTGCCCTTCCCTGAGTACTCGCGGGTGATACATTCTCAAAATGGCCGTGAATATGAAATTCCGTGAATATATTTTTTGATAATTATTCGGATAAAGACCGTCCACTGTTTTTCATTGAAAATGGTCTTAAAGATACAGTAACCAATTTTTAGTGATTTTATTAGGAGATACTGTATTATGTTGGGAAAAATATATAATTGGCTGAAATCATTTACTAACCTAACAAGCCTAAGAAAACCTAACCTAATCTAACTTATATCTTAACTCCCCTATATAGGAGGATCCCCGGGTTATGAATGCGTTCCATTCCTGGGGATGCTCTCAACTTGGAAATTTTTGTAAGTCGGAACACATACTCAATGTGCATACAGTACCTATCTTGGAGAACAATGTTTAAGATCCCACTATATCATAGCCTATGTCCTGTTATACTTCTAAAATCACAAAATTTAAGAGAAAATAAGAAATTTAATGACAAATTACAGTAAAGGACAGTAAAAATTAGTTATCAGGTAAATAAAATATACTGTAGATGTAAAGTTTAACACTTACTGTACATTGAAACCTAGGGCTGGCTTCCATGTAGAGATGGGCTTTTGTAGGAGTAACAGAGGCTCTATTACGATGAAAGTGAAGATGGTGATGATGTTGATGGGATTGGTTCTGGAGAATCTGCTGAGGTAAAGGGAACTTGTTTTTGAGTTGCTAGGAGTTTCTCTGTAGATGCTGCAGAGGTTTATGGGACTGGTTTTGGCCACCTTGCGACTTTCTTAAAACTCGTCAAGGGATGGTTGAACTGAAACTTTCTTCTTTTCATCATAAATCTCTCTAGCATTGTAGAAGTAAAGACATACCTTTATGAATCTTACTGTGTCGGGATCTTGCTGTTAAAATTTAAACAATCCTTCTTCAATAAGCCTGAAACCATCTGCCATTTCTTTTTTAATGAATCCCTTTGGTTCTGGAGTTTATGCTTTCTCTACATCCTCGGACAAAATTTGCTTCTCCAGTTCAATCAGGTTCTCATTGCCTAATTCTTCAGCATGAGACTCAAGCAACTGTGTGACTGACATCATCCTCATGAATATCAAGCTGGAGTTGGAAACATTATGAGATGTTCTTGTACTATGAGATGATATTGTACTTTACCAGATGATACTAAATGTTACATAATACTTCCTTGAGATAAATGTATAGTACAGCTCCTCCCCGACTTACGACGGGGTTAGGGACCTAAATCCAGGTCATAAGTTGAAAATGCTTAAATAATACATAAAAAATCTAAATTGGGTGTCTCTTTTTCTTCTCAGAACCACAAAACTCTCACTTTTAAGCTTGCCAGCCATTTTAAAGTGAATTACAAACGAAAATTTTGTCTGTGGACTGATGTTGGGACTCGAAAATACGTAATTTGACAAAATTTTGGTATGACTGAGGCAGGTCGTAAGTGCGGGTGGTCGTAAGTCGGGGAGGAGCTGTATGTGCCAGGTACCTAAAAGAGAGCTCAGGTTCTCAACTGGCTCAGCCATGTTAATACAGTATTGTTATTATTATCCACTCTGTATCTGTGTTTTTCTGGCTAAATAAACTGTTTCAATTCAAGGTCTACCACTGCCTGTGTCACTTTCCCAATATCATCTTCAAAGCCCCTGAAATTGTGGACAAACTGGGTGCTGAGCTTTTTTTAAACACTATTCATATTGGTTTCTTTGACCTCCCATGAATCTGCAATGTCTTTCACAGCATCATAAATGTTGTATGACTTCCAAAAATTCCTTTAAAGTCCTACCCTCTTTTTGTTCTGATGCCCTGATAACTTGAGCAAATGCCCTTCTCAGGTAATATGCTTTAAATGAAGCAATAACTCCCTGGTGCATAGTTTGTAAAACAGATGTTGTGTTTAGAGGTAGGAACATAACCTTAATGAACATCATCTAAAAATTGCAAGATGGCCAGGTGCATTGTCAAGTACAGGTTGTACCTCTCTAGTCCGGCATTCTGTTGTCCGGAAACTCCCGTGGTTCGGCACGATTTTAGTTTGTCCAATAGGTAGATAGGCAGCTTTTTTTTTTTGCTTATCCGCATTATTATTATTATTATTACAGGAGTATTAAATTTTTGCCCCTCAGGCACCAATGTGGGTCAGTGACCTATGCCCGGGTGGGCTAATCCCCATAAAAAAAACCCAACAAAGCCGCGGGAAATTAAGGTTTGTTTACCTCCGGCAGTTTGGCTGCTCTCTCTCTCTGCTTGTCTATACAGAGTACAACATTTAACCCTTCAATATATATGAGCAGTAAATAAGTTTTGCTTTCATATTCTTATGTAGAGTAATGACGATATGTTTTCACATGTGCGCACTTACATACGTGCAGTCTCACTTTTTTTTCTTTACCATTAATGGTTAGCTACTTATATTGTTCCATTTATTACATTAAATAACATTACTACAAACAAGCATATTAATTTTTTTACATTAATTTTACTACAGCTACAATCAGGGTCTTATTTTCTTCAGTCTTATATGTAGAACCAATCAGTCACTGGTTTTGTAAGCATTAACGAAAACAATGCCGGCAGCCGTCTTGTCTCCTCGTGTTAATATTCCACATTTTATTAATGAATTGTATTGTTCATTTTGCACACATAAACATTAATTCAATAAAAAAAATTCAGAAACATTAATTAAAATATATATGAACGGTAAATTAGTGTTGCTTTCATATTCTTATATAGAGTAATGACGATATGTTTTCACATGTGCGCACTTACATTCGCGATCTCTCTTTTTTTCTTTACCATTATCGTTAGCTACTTCTATTGTTCCATTTGTTAACATTACTTAAAACAACCATATTAATTTTACTACAGCTACAACCAGGGTCTTATTTTCTTCAGTTTTATATGTAGAACCAGTCAGTCACTTGTTTTGTAATCAACGAAAACAATGCTGTCTCATTTCCTTGTGTGTTTTAATATTCTACGTATTATTAATGAATTGTATTGCCCATTTTGCACACATAAACATTAATTCAATCAAAAAGACATTCAGTAATAAACAATAATGAATCTTTTGTACATAAGAGAAATGACGCAGTTTACATGATTGTGCACGTCGTCTGAACGTTGGTGGGCCGTTCAAACACGTCGAAATTCGAGTTTCCGCCGTCATAATTTTAAATTGTTTTGTCTTTTGGTGTGTTCAAATAAAAAACGCCGAATTAAAAACTTGCGAAATTTGAGAAGCTACTGTACGACATTTAACCCTTCAATATGTCTTCAGAGAGACCATGAAGTAGAGAAAGTGGTGCTAGTGCTTCCAAGCATAAGCACAAGTCACTATCTATCCAGGAAAAGGGTGAATTTCCATGGTCCGGCACCGGTCAGGTCCCGAGGTTGCCGGACTAGAGAGGTACAACCTGTAATGAAAACTTTTGTTAAATGACCCACCCACCCACCCTATGTCTTTGTATGTATAGTAGAACTTCGATATAACACGAGATACGTTCCAAGAGTGGTCCCTTTAAACCGAATTCGCACTGAAGTGAAGTGTTGTTTCAATGGAATAATTTAGTTTGGTACTTGAGAGAAACACAAAATACTAAAAAGACTGAGAGTCTACCCAGATGCATCTCAGCCCATCTCCTAGAATAAACAAAACATTGTTTTTTGTAGTATTATGTTAAAACAAACACTCATAAATCAACACAGCTAAAATTATGGGACGTGAAATGGTCTGTTTACTAGCGATCAGCTGATGGGAAGAGAGGGGGGGGAGGTGAGGCGATATGTTTGACAGTTGATGCCAAGGTCTAGTGCTTTTTTATTTATCTGTCCTGAAGAGTGGCTTAAGTTTTTCTCTTATAAAATGTCACTGCACTGACATGTTCCAATTGATTTTATTACAAAGGGCTAAATTTTTTATCTCTTGTGTAAAATATATGACGTTTATATTCAAATTATTCGCTGTCTTGCAAGGATTCCAGCAATGCAAATTATATTCTCCTAACTTTAGTCTGTGATATTATATAAGATAAAAACTGTAAGCCTATAACCACCAAGCCCTGGTTGGGGTGGGGGGGTGACAGTGACACGTTTGACAGTTGGGACCGAAGGTCTAGTGAAGTATTTATTTGTTTATTTATGTCCTTTACATTGAGTTTCGGTTTTTTGTTTATAAAATGTCACAGAAGTGACCGGGAGAATATAATTTACATTGCTGGAATTCTTATAAGATAGTGATTAATTTGAATATAATCATGCTATAGTTTATACAAGACAAAAATTTTAGTAATCATTTAGTACATTATTTTGAGTACATGTACAGTACAGCTATTGCCCTTAGGACTGTCACGTGCCCAGAGAAACATTAGGTGCAAATTTTAAAATATGATGCACCAGATTGACTCGTGCAAAATAGGAAAGATTCGCTTTAAATTAAAACATTGTCCTTAATTGTGGGTGCCGCTTTAAATCAATAATCTTAAATTTAATTGCTTTAAATTCACGTTCTAATGTAATAAGTCATTTTTGTCTTATATATATTTTCAGCCTTCGGGCTGCAGAACTTTTCCAATAAACTGTTAGCTACTATTATTATTATTATGCACACACACCCTGATGCACAAGTGTATAACTGCATGGTGGTGGGTTAAAGATCAGCAGTTGAGGAGCACCTGGCAACACACTATTTCTCTAGACACCCACATCTTATTCACTCCATATTTTAAAATATGATTTAACATTATAAAGGGGGCAAAAACCATTGTCACCGTCTATAAAGGGGCGGATTTCTTATTAGTCTGTTCTTATTAATTTATCCCCCTGCTGTTAACTTTTAAACACTAAAACTTTTTTCTCTCAATTACTTACTTCATTCATGTTCTCACTAGGTGTGTCATAGTTACTCCATAACCTCTGACCTTTGGCAGCATGGTGAGGGTTACTGTAATTCAGGTATCAAGCTATTGGACAAGAATAAAGGTAGATACTGAGGGAAAATGATATCCCTAACATACTCTAAAAATGGTTTATTAATATGAAATTCAATTTGGTTAAAGATGTCATTAGCATACAACTACAAGGATCAACTCCTTGGCTTTACTCATTTGCCATTCCAATTAGATACACTAGCTTCTTACATCATTTAATAGAACACACTACATGACAAGCTTACATATGGCACACTTGAGTACCAGCAATACATGGTACCTGAGATTCTTAACTCTTAATCAGTCACAGGACTCTAGGAACATACCAACAATACTACTTTAACATTATCAGGGGTGTAGCTTCTTTTTGCTATTTTTCTACATTCGCCAAGAAATAAGTGGCGACCTCATACTCTTGCCATTTCCACACACTCGTACCCTGAGGAGATACCTATAGGGTACTCCGATGAATAATACTGCCCCAGCATACTCTACTTAGAGGTTGACTCAAAACACACAACACTGCTACTGAGAGCTGGCCGTGTTTACTATGATGCATGAGATCATCATGGGTGGACGGTCAAAACAGGCTGGCGTGCGCCTGGGCAGCGGCTGGCCAGCCTGGCTGGCTGAGCCGCTGCCCCACACCACTGTGCAAGTGACGCTACTTGGTCTCAGTTGTTTCATCCATCTCCACTACTAGGGTTGGATGTTGTCCTAACATACAGCGACCACTCTTGACCTACAGGAATCTGTGAACAGGGCGATAGCGGAGCTTAGTTTGGGATGACACTAATGTCATACGTTTTTAAGAGCTGAAGGCGTAATAACATTTCATTTAAAACACATTAAAGTTACGTTACTGAAACACTTGCATATTCAAACAAAACACAACTACGTCAAATCATTTAATAGGGCTGGGTAAGATGTACCTTATTTGTCGGCATATAAGACGCACCACCGCATAAGACACACCCCTGTCTTACAAGGATTATTCTTTTTTTTTTGTATGTTTCGTCATACAATTATTGAAAGTGATTCTAAAGTGGTTTTGTAGGGGAAAACATATGTTTTTGTGCATGTAAATACAATACAGGCAGTCCCCGACTTACGACGGGGTTAGGGACCCAAATCCAGGTCGTAAGTCGAAAATGCAAAAAATATTACATAGAAAATCTAAAATGAAATACAGTACAGTAAAAGTAATCAATAATGAAGAATGGATACAGTGTTACTGTGCACTTACCTTTAATGTAGTCAGCTGAATGCACACGGGGCCCCCATAATTTTCTAATTATACATGGAGACTACATTAACTGGATGAAGCAGAGGAGGAGACAGGGCTGGGTGGGTCATCAATGTCACTTTCTTCAGACAGGTTAACATACAGGGGATACTTGCTTGTTGAAGGTATTGGATCATCTTTAGGGTGTGAAGAGGCAGCACTATTGGGGCGTGAGGAGACAGCAATGGGAACTTCTTAAAATATATGTCCAATTTAGACTGCACAGTTTGCCTTTTCTTTTCATTGTAAATCTCCCTGTAGCAAGCTAGTGCATCTTGGATCAGTCTGTCAACTTTTGCAAAACGCTCAACATTTTGATCCATTTCTTCAAACATTTGCATCCCTTATTAATAGTAGCAAATGCCTCTGCCATTTGTTTCTCTGAAAACTTTTTGGGGGGTGCAGGTTCTTCTTTTACATTTTGTCACTCTTCTTCCTCTGCAAATTTCTGTGCTTCCGATTCAATAAAATCCTCATTACTTAGCTCTTCTGCTACACTTTCCACCAACTGCTCAACATCTTCATTATCAATTTCTAACTCCAGATGTTTACCCATCTGCACTATCTTGTTACTAATCTGAGAAATTGCTTCATCTTCATTAAATCCTTTGAAACTGTTCACATATCTTTTCAGGACCTTCTTCCATATTCCATTCTTGCACTGACCTGTAACCTCATCCCATGCTGCAGCTATGTTCTTTGTACATTTCAAAATGTTGTAGTCCTTCCAAAACACTCTTGAGCGTTTTCTCACCTTCAGTAGCAGCAACAGCCTGAGCGAAGGTCGTACGTAAATAATACGCTTTAAAAGCGGCAATAGCACCTTGATCCATGGGTTGGACAATAGAGGTAGTGTTAAGTGGAAGGTATACTACCTTAACATCAGGGTGCAGGTCGTCCAGGTGTGGTGGGTGTCCCGGAGCATTATCTAAAATTAATAAAATCTTGATGGCAACCCCTTGTTGAAGACAATACTCCTTGGCTCGTGGAATGAAACAACTCAGGAACCAATCCTCAAACAGTGCTAGGGTCATCCATGCTTTCTTATTACTGCGATAAAACACTGGCAGTGTGTGCTTGCTGACATTTTTAAAAGCCCTTGGGTTGTCTGAATGATATATCATGAAGGGTTTTACCTTGAAACCAGCTACATTTCCCCCCAACAGAAGTGTGATTCGGTCCTTGAATGCCTTGAATCCCGGCATGGTTTTTGCCTCTTTGTGGATGTATGTCCGTTCTGGCATGCACTTCCAGAATAAGCCAGTTTCATCCACATTAAGTATTTGTTCAGGCAAATAATTTCCCTCCACGATGATACAATCTAGCTCCTCCTTAAAAGCTTCAGCAGCACCCACATTAGCACTTGCTGCCTCTCCACTCACCTTTTCACTGTGCAAATTGTAACGTTTCTTAAACCTTTGGAACCACCCATGACTTGCTGTGAAGCTTTGGTTGCACTCATCTCCTTCCTGCTCTTTCAGGCTTTCGAAAAGGCTTCTTGCCCTAGCCTGTATGGTTAGAAGGCTTAAGGGTACATGCTTTTGCAGCTGATCCTCCATCCACATCACAAGTAATTTCTCCATCTCATGAAGAGGACCTTGTCTTTTTTTCATTATTATTGTTCCCTTTATAGGTGCTGATCCTTTCACTACCTCACGAATTCGTTCCTTGTCCTTCAAAATTGTTGATATCGTCGAGTGAGAGAAGCCTCTGTTGCATGAAATGGTTGCTTCTGTTTTTCCATTTTCATATTGCATTTTTAATTTCATTTTCTTCAAAAGTAATTGACTCTTTTTCTTCTCAGCACCACGAGAACTCTCACTTTTATGCTTGCCACCCATTTTAAAGGGAATTACAAAAAAAAATTATGTCAGTACACAACGCGATCACTAACAACAACGAAAGCCAAACACCAACTGAGCAGGCTACGGCGTGGATACTGTACACCACGAGGCGGCCCAGCCAAGCTATTGTATGGCATCACATTATGACCAAACGTCGGGACTTGAAAATACGTAATGTGAAAAATATTTTATATGACCATGGCGGTCGTATGTCCGGGTTGTCGTAAGTCGAATATGTTGTAAGTTGAGGAGAGACTGTATGTGTGTGTGTGTAGACACACAAAACACATACAGATAAATAATAATGGGAAAATCCTCTCACAAATGATCAGAAACAAGACAACAAAATGTATTAAAAATGTTAGGGTCTACCCTCAAGTCAACTCCGTTCTTTGTTATAACTTTAATAACAAAGCATGGAGTTGATTTGAGGGTAGACTCACATTTTAGTACATTTTCGTTTTGTTTCTGATTATTTGTGAGGATTTTTCCATTGTTATTTATTTGTACAGGTAAAAGAAATTACTGTCTCTAGAACAAATGGCTCCCTGTCCCGGCCACGAAAATGCCAGCAATTTTTAAACTACCCTTAGACATTCTTGTGTACATCCAGGGTGTCATCCGCGATTAATCAAGGTCGTGAATTAAAAATCCTCGAATTGTAAGGGCATGCTGTACTGTAGATCCTAAATAAAATTCTCATTTAGAAGGGGAGAGAGTCTTGATTTAACATATATCTATAAAGCTCTCATGTACAATATTCATGAAGATAATGTGTGAAATAATTTCAGAGCCCCTTCGGTGTGTGCAAAAGTGTCTTGGCATGGTGCACCAAGTTGCCAGCATCTACAGTGGGCTGGTGAGACGGTGAAGGGTGAGCCACAACTTGGGGAGGTTAAATGGTACTGCACTTCAACAAAGCCATACACACACAGTGAAATAGGTGGTAGTGCTGTGAACAGTGCCAGAGCTGGTGAAAAGTTACTAACTAATACAAAAGAATTTGAAAGCAGTTATAACAAACCTGGGAGTAGAAGAACAAAAGACAAAGGTGTTTTATCAAATGCCATGCATAAAATAGATGAGGGCATTGTAGTAGAAGAAACTAAGGCTACAGCTGTTGTAGAAGTGAGTGAGGGAAGTATTGATTCATTTTATGGATCAGAGGAAGAAGTGGACTTAGAGGAGTTGATTAAATTAGAGATTGAGCTGCACCGCCAGGAAGGTGTCCCAGTACCTTCTGAAATCACCCCAACCCAGTGGGAAGAATTACTCGCCAAATCTTCTATGCAGGGACGTAAGAAATATCTTAAATTTCTCTTTAAAAATGAAATGAAGAGGGAAAATACCAAAAAGAAAAAGGAGTTGAAGAGGAAAATTAGAGAAGAAAAAGAAAAAGAGATGGAAGAGAATCCAAAAGTTGGGGAAGACCAAGATGTACACATTCAATATGGTCTCTGGAGAAATAGCATATTTCTCAAGATTCTTGACACCACAATGAATCATTTCTATAACTCGCGGGTCATCTCTGCCATGATGCATGGCCAACCCTTGGTGATAGATATGGGCTTCGATGATCACATGGTGTCAAGGGAACGGCAAAACTGTGCCTACCAGATCCAGGTATGTAACGTCTCGGGAATTATTTACATTTGTGTTGTCTTTATGTTTGGTTTATAAACTAGCAATTGTTGTTAATAAATTATTATAATGATAGAGTAAAGTCAACCAGTAATGTGTAGGACCAAGAGTCACAAAGTGCATACAGTACTACCTTGAACATGTGTCCAAGGAAAGGATGCCATTAACCATAGTACATACTTGTGTCAGTTTGAGAATATTTTTAGTTTCTTCAAATACAATAATCTCCTTGCTAGCTGGAATCCCCAAATCCTCGTAACTCTCCATTAGCTGGAATTGAAATTGGCCTGAAAATTCTGGGAAACACTCCATTCTGGGGTCTGTGAACTACCGTATATCTCGGCCTATAAGGCGTCGGGGTGCATAAGACGGTCCCCCCAAATTTCCATTTAAAAAGTAGCTTTTGAGCTCTATTCGCTGTATAAGACCAGTACCCCAAATGTGACACTTACCCACTGACTCAGTAGTCCTTTACCAACCATCCTTGGTTTTTTAAAATAAGGCCAATTCACTTCAAGTAATGTCATCAAATGTTACCCGCTGGTGTAGTGTAAACACTAGTGACGTCACTGAAGCGTCTGCTATTTACCGGTAACTGGAACTAATGTCGGTGTCGAGTAAAATTTTTCCATTGCAGGAAAAAAAAAAAAAAAAAAAATATATATATATATATATATATATATATATATATATATATATATATATATATATATATATATATATATATATATATATATATATATATATATATATATATATATATACATTAACATGTAGTGAGGGTTAACTGTGTATATATATATATATATATATATTTATTTATATATATAATATATATATATATATATATATATATATATATATATATATATATATATATATATATATATATATATATATATATACAGTTAACCCTCACTTTACGCGGTTAATGTAACCCGGAGGGTACCGCGGAATGTGAGGAACGCGTAAAGTGAATAACATAACATATGGGATTAATTGAAATGGAGTCCGGGCCGATCCCCAAACTCCACTTTTTGACGACACACAACTATGTTGTAGTAAAAATTTTCTCTTAACTTTATGATGGTATGAAAAAACAAGTAATATAGAAGAGGTTAGGTTAGGAAAGATAAAGGTTAACATAGGAAAAATAAAGGTAAGGTTAGAAAACTAAAAATTAGGTGTAACTTACGGTAGTAGAAGAGATGGGTCGGCATACGGGGATGGAGGCTGGTTCCGAGGCAGAGGGCAGATTACTGGCCCTCAGGTGAATCACCATTACTAGGTAAATCATCATCACTGTCACTTACAGTTGTCAGGGCTTCCCTGACAAATCCCTCAAAGTCATCTTCACTGTCACTATCACTGGCTTGGGCTGGCTGTGGTGGGTTGCGGGTGAAGAAATCTGCTATGCTTTGCTGACGGCTGGCGTTGATGTTGTCATGATACACCTTGATGTACGGCTCCATAGCCTGCACCAGCCGGTTATGGAAGACTTCATAGCGGTCATCGTCATTGTCGCGGGAAAGGAAGGACTTCATCTTCTCTGCACACTCCATGGCACCCTTAATATCACTATGACTTAAATTGTGTTCTTCGGAGACTGACGCACCTTCTTCCTCCTCTTCACTGACGTGTTCTTCTTCCAACATCTCGTCGGCAGTCACTTCAGGATCTCTGATCACCTCCAGGATGTCGTCGTTGGTGGTCTCGGAGAAGCCTGGAACTGTAACAGTCTGCGCAGCTTCTCTGGCAAGGTCCACTGCTACTGCAACATTCTGAACCTCACCAGTCACAGATTGACTCCTCCTCTCACCTGGTATTCCATGCAACACATGTCTCCATGCGTGACGAATTGTAGCAATAGACAGCTGATCCCATGACTCCACCAAGAAGTCCACAGCTTTCTTGATGTTAAATACTCTCCAGAATTGTTTGAAGAGTATTTTTTGCTGTTCTAACTGTTGATCCTCATCTTCTTCGCTCTTGCTATCGGTGGTGGTGTCACTCAGGTTACGCAACTCTTCCCTGGTGTTGGTGTAGTCGTTCAGGAGCTGGAATTTTTTTGTTGAGAATGCAGCTTTCACATTGCAAATCAACTCCTGGTCCATGGGCTGGATTAAAGACGTAGTGTTGGGAGGAAGGAAGACCACTTTTACGTTGGGGTGACGATCTAACAGTAGGGGCGAGTGTCCTGGTGCGTTGTCCAGCAGCAACAAAATATTAAATGGGACATTCTGTCGCTCACAGAATTTCTTTACATCGGGAACAAAACAGTCATCAAACCAGGAGAGGGACAGTGTAGAGAACATCCATGCCTTACGTGCGGTCAGCCAGTGGACATTTAGCTTGGTCATGTCCATGCTCTTGTAGGCGTGCGGCTTGCGGGCTGTGTGGATCACCGATAACTTGAGCTTACAGGTACCGGAGGCATTGGTGGTAAACAGGACGGTGATGCGTTCCTTCTGCATTTTCCGGCCCCGAATCCTGCTGGTATTCTTCACAACGAAGGACTTGGAAGGTAGTTTTTTCCAGAAAAGACCAGATTCGTCCATGTTAAACACCTGGTCGTCACTGTACTGTCCTTCCTCCATAATCTCAAGTAAAAACGGAGGAAATTCCCGAGCCGCAGCACGATCAGCACTCGCTTCTTCACCACCAATGTTTATATTGGTGATCTTGTTCCGGATCTTAAACCTCTGTAACCACCCAGAGGAAGCATTAAAGGGTTTGGGCTCTGAAGTTCCCATCTTTCGTGCCACTGCCATGTACAGTTCACGTGCGTAGTCCTTAACAGAGCGCGTGTCGACCGCCATGTTCCGTCGCGCCTGACGCACCAAGTACCTCACAAGTAATTTTTCTGTCTTGAGAAGCACCTGGTTGTGAAAATACTTGATCATAGAAGCACCTGTAGACTTTGTGATCTTCATGTGCTCCTTTATCTTGGCTGAATCCTTCTTTATAGTCCGGATCGTAGATTCGTTCACGCCATGCTGGCGCGCCAAATCAACCTGCCTTGTTCCTTTCTCCAACTCTTGGATGATGCTATACTTCACCTCGTAGCTTAAGGAACGTCGTGTCTTCTTTGGTTTAGTGCCGCTGGGTCCAGGTAAGGAAAGGTTTCTCTCTGGGGGTGGTGGTCCGGCGGAAGCCATTTTACGGAACAATGGATGCGCGTTTACACGGAGTGGCCTTGAGGGATGAAACTGCCGCGGCTAGGTCAAGCGTCGTCTTTCCTCCCTCCCTCCCTCCCCCGGGTGGACACGTCATAATACTTTAAGCCAATTACAGCTAGCAGCAGAGGGGGGTAGGGATGCATGGCCAATCACAGGTCTGATACGTCATATGACGTCAGTGATAACGCAACAAAGACACACACTGCGCAACCTTACCGCGCCGCTTGCCCAAGCGGAGGGAGGAGGAGGGAGAGGCAGGCAGGCAGGCGGGCGGGTGGCGGGTGGGGCGAATCTAAAAATAGCGTCGCGCCGGACACTCTCCGCGTAATGGGGTTCACGTACCGCGTAATGTGAGCACGTGAGGTTCTGGCAAGGCACCGCGTTAACGTGGAAACGCGGAATGCGGGACCACGTAAAGTGAGGGTTAACTGTAATTGGTTCCAGCTCACCAAAAGTACATACAAAGTAAAAAAAAAAAAAAGTGCAGTAAAGTACTGTAATGAGACAAATCTCACAAGAAGACGATTACATATAGGTAGAATATTGATAGTATAAGGGTATAAAAGAGAGGAAGATTTTGGTAGCGTGGCCGTGATAGTTATTTGATAATGACTTTCACTTATCATATCTTATACGTCAATACACATCTATTACGTCTTAAGGGCGACTTCTCAAACACCGCTTCGTTACAACTCTTTATTAATTACGAACATGACATGGACACATTAATAACACCTTCTATTGAAGTTACTAGGACATTATGTTTACGTTACTAGGACATCATATTACGTTACTAGACACTGATTCTCGGACACGAACATGAAATGAATACACTTCCCACGTAAGTAACTCATCCCATGGAAAGCTCTGACAAACACTCACGTGACCTAGGGGAGGCCTAGCAGGTGGTCCTGGGTTGTCTCTATGGGAGACTGCTTAGCTGGCGCCGGAGGGAAGTCTCGGTCCTGACCGGAGGCGACTGCCTCCGGTCCTCTCTGACTCCTCTCGAGCGGGCCTGGTGGTGTAGTAGCTGGCCCTTCCTCCTTACAAGACACACTCTCTCTCTCTGTCTCTCTCTCTGGTGGGAGGGAGGACTAGGACGTCCTATATATTGGGAGGCGAGCCGTCAGGTTGAGCTGATCGGGGGGGCGGCGAAGGATCTCCTTACATTTGCCCTCGCTAATGTAGGGTCAGGTCTGGACTTTTTCAGAGACTATAAGTTGTATATTCTGGAGAAATCTTCAGATGGGGCCGTGTGACATGAGAGGCCCTGGTTGATTTGTGGCCCCTTGACTTGGGTTCGAGGGTTACATTTGACCTGGCTAATGTGAGGTCAGGTCTGGACTTCTTCTGCGGTGTAGGTTATTGTGTATATTGGGAGAGAGTCGGCCGGTGCCTTCTTACATGTTTGTTGGGGCCGTGTGACATGGGAGGGGAGCTAGTTGATTTGTAACTCCTTGAGTGGTTGCGAGGGGTACCCTTACATTTAACCCCCCTAATGTCGGGTCAAGTCTGGACTGTTTCTGAGATGTAAGCTGTGGTCTGACAACCCATCACTACAGTACAGGTGTGTATGTAGAAGGCTCCTGGTTGATGATGATGATGGGAATTAGAACTGGGGGTGGAGGAGAAGGGAGAAGAGAAGGAAATGGGGATGGAGGAGAAATCACCTTCTTTGGACTCATGCTTGATGCCGTCATTTCACCAATAAAATTTTAAGTTCACTAGGTGCAATTCAAGATTATTTTCTTTAAATCAACACTGCACTGCTCTATATATTATCAATATGTTAACTAAAGTTCAGAATGACCAATAATTTAAATGAAAAATGCAAAAATATTCAAGACACCAACAAAATAGGTGCTCTCTCGACAGAAAACATACCCCAACTGACGCCTTGTAGCCGACTCACGCATCTGATGGGCGCATGACAAACTAGTTCCCTGTACTGCATAAATGTTAAAATGACTAAAATTTTTAATATAAAGCATTCAAAAATATTCAAAAGCTGAAATATATTTCATCCATTGGAAACGAATTTAAACTTAGAACAGATTACAGAATTGGCAGACTGGGCCATCAGCTGACCAGCTGATGCTCTCATCAAAACGAGATTTTCGTAAGGATTTCGTTAATCAAATTTTTGTTCGTTAATCGAATTGAAGATTCTTATGGAAGGTAATTCTTTAACCGAGGCATTCGTTAACCGAGGGACCACTGTTTATTTTGCACAAGAGATAAAAATTTTTGCTTTTTGTATGACTATTGCAAACTATAGCATGTTTATATTCAAATTAATCACTATCTTATAAGAATTCCAGCAGTGTTAATAATATTCTCCCTGTTCACTTCTGTGACATTTTATAAGAGAAAAACTTAGTCACTCTTAAGGACAGATAAATAAATAAGCACTAGACCTTGGCATCAACTGTCAAACATATCACCTCACCTCCCCCCCCCCATCTACCCATCAGCTGATTGCTAATAAACAGACCATTTCACGTCCCATAATTTTAGCTGTGTTGATTTATGAGTGTTTGTTTTAACATAATACTACAAAAAACAATGTTTTGTTTATTCTAGGAAATGGGCTGAGGTGCATCTGGGTAGACTCTCAGTCTTTTTAGTATTTTGTGTTTCTCTCAAGTACCAAACTAAATTATTCCATTTAAACACTTCAATTTAGTGCGAATTCGGTTTAAAGCGACCACTCTTGAAACGTATCTCGTGTTATATCGACATTCTACTGTACATGATTGTGCTCACACTGCATCGCAGCTCAGCTGGGATGTTTCCTCTGCTGACCGACCCTGACCAACTGTTGCTAAGGGTCAGTCGGCAGAGACACAGAACCCAAACCCCCTCCCCTGGTCAGTACACGTGGCAGCTGAGGCTGAGAGAGGTGCGAGTGGAAGTATTTTCCCCAGTCATAAGCTCCTACGCTCACTGCGTCGTTTATCCTTTTCTAAGCCAAACGTGTTAAGTTGAATGCGCATAATTTAAGTGAGTGTAACACTGTACACTGAATAAAGTTCGGAATTGGACAGATTTTTTTATTCCTATTATGCCGAAAACCTCCCTATACCGAACTGGTTGCTCACCAATTTTATCGGTATAGAGAGGTAATACTGTACAGCATATGGAAGACCGAGGCAGTGTAGAAATTCTTGTTGTATTATTTATTCACTGACTGTGGCTTAAGAATATGGAACTGTGGAACTGTGCACATGAGTATAGTAGTACAGTTCTCAGTAGTTTGTTCTGGATGTTTATGACTATTTTATGTACTGTTGCTTTTTTAATCCATGTGACATATAATAACTAAAGAGTGTAGAATATTAATAGTGGGTAAGATAGTAATAGTGCAGCTTGGCATGAAAAATGTGCGTATATCTTCCTGAACTTTATACTCTTCAGTCATAAACTTGTAATTCTATATTTGACAGATGATGTTAAGTGCCAACAGAACCCATGCTGATCCTTATGCCTTACATCTGTGTAATGCACGCAGGTCTGCCGACACCATACAGAGGCTAGAACGATATATCCCTCCATTGTTTGAGGTAAGGACTGTGTTTATTATGGTCATTCAAATACCTGTACTGTACTTATTGTATTTATAGTATGGATAATTTGTACACTGTTTGTTGCTTATAGCTGTCTGTATCAGCATCCTTCTTAATATACTGTACAGGGTGTTTCAAGAACATTTATACACACACCCTCCAGATCACAAGAATGCATCTAATACAACAGCAACTATTGTTCTCACTTGTGGGAGACCTTGCACATGATTGAGTGAGGACGATGTTGCTGTTGTAACACATTCAGTCACTCCATCTCCAGAAAAGTCAGCAAGACAATATGCATACATTTTTCTGAGACATCCTGTATGTTTTAATAGCAACAAGAATGAATTAGAGTAAATAGGCAATGTAAATGTAGGCAATGAAGAAATGTTTTACCACAGCACAGCAAGCGAAGTGAACTAGTGAGGGATGGTGGGAAGAATGTCATGTCGAGTAATGTGAATGATGGGAGTGATGGTGAATAAAGGTAAAATTGTTGTTCTTGATAAAGTGGGACTGCATATACTGTACAGGGTGGACCCCCAAAAAAAACAATGTCCATTAATACAGATGGAAGTATTGCTGATTACTGTACAGCTTGCAGTGTCTCACACCTAACACAAAGATTACTTGTTGATGAATTATGAATGATTATGGGTTTTAGAATTTTTTTAGGATTGTTATACTGTAATTGTGTGTAGAAATGCAGTGCAGTATTTAGATATTAGAGAAGGATTGAAATATTTAGTAAAGGAATGAAAACATTTCCTATCATTTAAATGTACAGTACTGGTTATGTCACCAGACTGTTGAATTATAGATAATTTTAGTTAATAATGTACCATGTAAAACAATACAGTAGTGGACTTGTTGGTAAATTCTTTGTCGATGTTTCTTACAATTCAAGGTGCTACTTTTCAGCCAGACTTCCCGCTGATAGTGTCCCCAGAGAGCTATGTGGACAGGTACTCCCGGGACCAGCTTGTGTATCTCACCCCTCACTGTCAAGAAGAAATGATTCATTATGATCATAATGCTGTCTATATCATTGGGGGAATAGTGGACAAATCTTGTGGTGAACCTCTGACTCTTGCCAAAGCAAAGAAGGAAGGTATAAAGATGCAGAAGTTACCCCTTGACAGGTGAGACACAACATCAGTTCTTTGTGTGGACTAAAGATGGGATGAAAACACCAAATAATTTTTTAAAGTTTAAACCATGCCACAAGAAATATGTTCGAACACTCATCATTCTTTTATGTCACAAATTTGTTCTTATAATAATTAAAGAATGTTTTCCATTTTTTAAACTTTCCAATGTAAATTTTTATATCCAATTTTCAAACCCTTTTCAATTACAGTATAAGGTTTTTACATTAATGATGCCAATGGTTGTAGCAGCAAATATTTGATATACCTGTATGGTTTAATGGTTCCTATCTTCATATAAAGAAGACACAGTACAACAGTTGATATTTTGTCAATGATGAATATTTCCAGATACTTAACATGGGGAATGGGTGGAAAGTCCCTCGCATTGAACCACATAGTCAAGATTATGTTGGATATGAAGCTAACAGGTGGGTTATAGAGTGTTTCTTTAATAATAATAATAATAATAATAAACTGTTTTTAATAGAGTTGCAGCCGGTGGCTGAAAATATACAGATTTACATTTGATTTAGACATAATGATATAATATACGTTGAATACACTTACAGGGCTGTACAGTGCATAAATCAGGAGTTGTTTATTTTTTTAACAATAGATGGGATGGTGCTATTCTTATATCTATCATTGCAGGCTCTTATGGGCTGGATTTTGTTGTAGTGGCGCACTGCACGAGGTGGGTGGGGAGGCTGCGATGACGAGGGTGGTGCAGTAATTCACTGCCAAACCTTGCCAGTGCTTGGTGGTGGAGGTCACTGAAGGATGGCATTTCCAGGGTGGAGAGAGCGTTGATGTAGCCGTAGTATTCTGCTCCGAGCATGATTCTGCAGGCCCTTTTCTGTACCTTCTCTAGCCGACGTTATTGGGTGGAGTTGAGAGAAGACGACCAGGCTGGTGACGCATACGTTAGTTTGGGGAGAATAAAGGCGTTGTAGATAGTCCTCAGCTCTGTCGTGGGTGTCCCAAGTGACCTAAGTCGTCGTAGCATGTAGAGTCGGTACGAGGCTACCTTGATTGTGTTATTTACTTGGGCCTTCCAGTCCAGTTTGTGGTCTATGGTAACACCCAGGAGTTTGGCAGACTGCACTAACTGGAGAGGATGGGCACCCACTGTGACTGCTGGAGCTTGCACTGCAGTGGTGGCGGTATTGATGTGCATGACTACGGTTTTGGTGTGGTTGATGGTGACCTTGTTCTCCGTAGTCCATGCCTGTAGCCTGTCCAGGGTGCCTTGTAGCGATGAGTAGTCTGGTGCGGTCTTGTCCACAGTAACCCCCACAGTGCAGTCATCCACGTACTTCCACCTGTGAGAAGTGTCTGATAAAGCGTCGTTGATCAGGATGAGGAAGCACAGTGGTCCCATCTTGGTCCCTTGGGGAACACCACAGGTGAGGTGTTGGAATGTGGAGACCGAGCCCTGATACCTCACTGCCTGACGACGTTCACTCAAGAAATGAGTGAGCCATGAGACCAGGTTGGTGGGCAGCCCTAGTGCAATTGCCTTGTTGATAACAGTGCAGTGATCAACAAAGTCAAAAGCCTTCCTGAAGTCAACAAGGGCAACAGCCAGTGATGTCTTACGTTTCTGCAGGTTTTCGTGCAGAAAATCCAGAAAACTCACTAAGCACTGTGATGTAGAGGAGGTCCTCATATTGCCAAATTGCTGTGGATCAATTGACTGAAAGATTCTAGCAAATGCCCACTCAAAAACAAAGTCTTCACAGAGTAGACTGGGTATGGGGGTGATGGCAACTGGCCTGAGGTCGTTATTGGACTGTGGGGTGGTGACTTTGGGGATAGGGGTGACAAATGCGGTTTTCCATTCATTAGGGCATTTGCTTTGTCTGAGGGATGCATTAATAATAGAACAGAGGTGGGTGGCAAGTTCGACTTCAAACTCCTTGTATATTTTGATTGGGAGGTCAATTGGGGTCGTGGAGCATTTGGATTTAAATTTCAGGAGTTTGTTGGCGATTTCAAATGGTTGAACACTGGGAGGGGGAGAGGGGGAAAGGTAAGTGAGCCGGGAGGAGAGTGAGGTCAAGACTGGGTAGGGTATGACATACGGTAGCAAAGTGGTTATTAATTATCTCAGCTGCCTCCTCACTAGGTAAATATGAGATGAAAGGAAGTGTGGGAGACTGACGGTTAAGACCACAGAGATCTTTTACCTTGGAGTACCACTGACCGATGCCGACTTCCTTGAGGCCGTGCACTTTCCTGGGATAAAAAGACTTCTTGGCCGACTTGATTTCCCTGATGATCTGGTTATGTAGACTTTTGTACAGGCGGTTGTTGGAGTAGTATGCCTTGTTGCGCTGCTCAATAAGTCTTTTTATGCGGGGAGTAATCCACGGGACATCATTGGGGTGGCTCCTCAGTGTCTTGGCTGGAAAGAAGTGGTGGTAGGCTTTGGTGATAGTGTCCAGGTAATTATCCCACTTGTTCTGCACATCCACCATAGTGTGTGTGTGTGTGTGTAATAATAATAGTAATAATCGGTTTATTAATAGAGTTGCATCCGGTGGCTGAAAATATACAGACTTACATTTGATTTAGACATAATGATATAATATGCATTGAATACATTTACAGGGCCGTACAGTACATAAATCAGGAGTTGTTTATTATTTTAAAAATAGATGGGATGGTGCTGCTCTTATATCTATCGGTGCGGGCTCTTATGGGCTGAATTTTGTAGTAGTGGCGGACTGCACGAGTTGGGTGGGGGGCTGCAGGTGGCAGGAGGTGGCGATGACGAGGGTGGTGCAGTAGTCCCCTGCCAAACCTTTCCAGTGCTTGATGGTGGAGGTCACTGAGGGATGGCATTTCCAGGGTGTGTGTGTGTGTGGAATGATAACTTACGATGGGATGAGGTTCATTATTAGGACTGCTTGCATGATGATTCTACCTGACATTCAAGTAGCTTTTACCTTTAAGCAAATATCCTCTCGTGCTCCTTCCCTAGCCTATCCACCACCACTGGTTGGTGTGAGGTCTTAGTGGTGGCAGGAGTGTGGTGGTAGATGGTGTGAGGTAGTGGTGGTGGATGGTGTGAGGTGGTGGTGGATGGTGTGAGGTAGTGGTGGTGGTGGATGGTGTGAGGTAGTGGTGGTGGTGGATGTTGTGAGGTAGTGGTGGTGATGGATGTTGTGAGGTAGTGGTGGTGGTGGATGGTGTGAGGTGGTGGTGGTGGTGGATGTTGTGAGGGTGGTGGTGGTGGTGGATGGTGTGGAGGTAGTGGTGGTGGTGGATGGTGAGGTATGGTGGTGGTGGATGGTGTGAGGTGGTGGTGGTGGTGGATGGTGTGAGGTAGTGGTGGTGTTGGATGGTGTGGGAGTGAGTGGTGGTGGTGGATGGTGTGGGGTAGTGGTGGTGGTGGATGGTGTGGGGTAGTGGTGGTGGTGGATGGTGTGGGGTGGTGGTGGTGGTGGATGGTGTGAGGGTGGTGGTGGTGGTGGATGGTGTGAGGTGGTGGTGGTGATGGATGGTGTGGGGTGGTGGTGGTGATGGATGGTGTGGGGGTGGTGGTGGTGATGGATGGTGTGGGAGGTGGTGGTGGTGATGGATGGTGTGAGGGTGGTAGTGGTGGTGGTGGATGGGTGTGGTGGTGGTGGTGATGGATGGTGTGAGGTAGTGGTGGTGTTGGATGTTGTGAGGTAGTGGTGGTGTTGGATGTTGTGAGGAGTGGTGGTGATGGATGGTGTGAGGTAGTGGTGGTGGTGGATGGTGTGGTAGTGGTGGTGTTGGATGTTGTGGGGTAGTGGTGGTGTTGGATGGTGTGAGGTGGTGGTGGTGGATGGTGTGAGGTAGTGGTGGTGGTGGATGGTGTGGGGTGGTGGTGGGATGGTGTGGGGTAGTGGTGGTGTTGGATGGTGTGGGGTAGTGGTGGTGGTGGATGGTGTGAGGTGGTGGTGAGTGGATGGTGTGAGGTGGTGGTGGTGTTGGATGGTGTGAGGTAGTGGTGGTGGTGGATGTTGTGAGGTAGGTGGTGGTGGTGGATGGTGTGGGGAGTGGTGGTGGTGTTGGATGTTGTGAGGTAGTGGTGGTGGTGGATGGTGTGGTGGTGGGTGGTGGTGGATGGTGTGGGGTAGTGGTGGTGGTGGATGGGTGTGGTGAGGTGGTGGTGTTGGATGTTGTGAGGGTAGTGGTGGTGGTGGATGGTGTGAGGTAGTGGTGGGTGGTGGATGGTGTGAGGTAGTGGTGGTGGTGGATGGGTGGGGTAGTGGTGGTGATGGATGGTGTGAGGTGGTGGTGGTGATGGATGGTGTGAGGTGGTGGTGGTGATGGATGGTGTGAGGTAGTGGTGGTGTTGGATGGTGTGGGGAGTGGTGGTGGTGGTGGATGGGTGGGGTAGTGGTGGTGATGGATGGTGTGAGGTAGTGGTGGTGATGGATGGTGTGGGGTGGTGGTGGTGATGGATGGTGTGTGGTGGTGGTGGTGGGTGGATGGTGTGGGGTGGTGGTGGTGTTGGATGTTGTGAGGTAGTGGTGGTGGTGGATGGTGTGAGGTAGTGGTGGTGGTGGATGGTGTGAGGTGAGTGGTGGTGATGGATGGTGTGGGAGGTAGTGGTGGTGGTGGATGGTGTGAGGTAGTGGTGGTGTTGGATGGTGTGAGGAGGTAGTGGTGGTGGTGGATGGTGTGAGGTAGTGGTGGTGATGGATGGTGTGAGGTAGTGGTGGTGTTGGATGTTGTGAGGTAGTGGTGGTGTTGGATGTTGTGAGGTAGTGGTGGTGATGGATGGTGTGAGGTAGTGGTGGTGTTGGATGGTGTGAGGTAGTGGTGGTGATGGATGGTGTGAGGTGGTGGTGGTGGTGGATGGTGTGAGGTGAGTGGTGGTGGTGGATGGTGTGAGGTAGTGGTGGTGATGGATGTTGTGAGTAGTGGTGGTGGTGGATGGGTGAGGTAGTGGTGGTGGTGGATGGGTGAGGTAGTGGTGGTGATGGTGTGAGGTAGTGGTGGTGATGGATGTGGAGGTAGTGGTGGTGATGGTTGGTGTGAGGTATAAAAGAAATCATGTTTTAGTTGCCTTTTTCAGGTTAAAACAGTATTGGTATATTTTTCCATGCTTCAGATTATGAACCTACCTTAAAATGATTCATGAATAAGAATGTCAGCTGGAGTGATGTTAACACACGGGCCAAAAGAAAATGTAGTTATGACACAATATTCAACCGGACAATTCAGTACCAATGATAATTTATGTTTTCAACATCAGTTATTTGCCGATTAGGGACATTTTGTGATCTGCAATTTACTGAATTATTATCTATGTACTCTCCACTATTATCTATGTATGTTCCACTATGCAATGGTATGCGTCTCGTAATAGAACCCGATGGAATTCATGGTTAATTTCATTCATTTGCAACTTGCAATGAATATGCAACATATGGCATTTAATGCATTA